GTCTGCCTGCCTGATTTCCCCTAACTGCTCACCTGACTGCCTGATTGCCCCTAACCACTCGCTTGCCTGCCTGATCACCCCTAACAGACTTTGCCTCAGCCCCCGCCATGGCAGCTTCTTCTGAAATGACGTCTAGAAGGTCGTTTGATTGTCCGGTCTAATTAGCATATTACACTTTTATTATTATAGATTTGCGGGCCATACAAAATTGTCAACTTAAAAATTAGCCTCCTGACAGGTTTGGCTCGGTGGATAGAGCGTCCGGCCTGCGGACTCAAGGGTCCCAGGTTCCATTCCAGTCAGGGGCATGTACCTTGGTTGCGGGCACATCCCCAGTGGGGAGTGTGCAGGAGGCAGCTGATTGATGTTTCTCTCTCTCATCAATGTTTCTAACTCTCTATCCCTCTGCCTTCCTCTCTGTAAAAAAAAAAAAAAATCAATACAATATATTTTTAAAAAATTAGCCTGCTAGGAGAACCAAGATGGTGGCATAAGCAAATGCCTGTACTCGCTGCCTCCTATAACCAAATCAAAACTAAAATACAGACCAACCATCATCCAGAACCGCTGGAAAGCTGGCTGAATGGAAGTCCTACAACTAGAGAAGTAAAGAAGAAAGCACACCGAGATTGGCAAGAGGTGTGGACGCGTGGAGGGGGCTGGTCCGGGAACGCATGGGTGCTGCTATTTTAATCTAGAGGGAGATCATCCCTGTGGAGGCTGCCCAGAGGAGTAAAGGGTCCCACCCCACACCAGACACACAGCCCAGGGTCCCAGAGCTGGGAAAAGAAATCCCTATAGGCAGTAAGATCTACCGGCTGTAAAAATCAGTGTAGATTGGGGCTTAGTGACACACAGGCTGCTGGAGACCCAGCTGCTCCTCTTAAAAGGCCATAACTACAAACTGAATTTACAAGCTCTCACTTCCTCTGAGCTCCAGTGCTGGGCAAGGCTCTGGGGGATCCAGACACATATGACTGTCTGGCATTGGAGCAGAAACTCTGGGGTGGCTTTCTTCCACATGGAGGTGCTCTCAGTGGTCATTGTTCCCGTACTGAGACCTCCTTGGTTGCAGAGCTGACTGGCAGCCATTTCCATTTGCTGTGCCCTGGTGATTGCCTGAGACCCTGCCCCACCCAATTACAAGCCCACCCAAACTGTGGGCAAAGGCTCTTGCATATGAATGGCCTGTCCTTTCTCAGGCTAAAAACTTGTCAACAAGCTGCACCTTGGTCAGGGAGCACCAAACGTATCAATAAAAGGCCCAAGGCCCAGCACCAGCACCAGCCTGCCTTGCTTCACAGCTTGCTCTTATCTGGGCACTTCAAAACCCAATACAAAGAGTAGGAATCTGCATATCTCTCTGTAGCTCCTGCTGGGTAGCCCCAGGCAGTGGCTGACTTTGCATCTCCCTGGAGACCCAAGAGCCAGTGTACCCAGTGGTCAGTGTGAGACCATACCATATTAAAACTCTTTATATCTATAACTGACACACTCAAGAGGCAGACTTAGTGAGCACCAAAGCCCCACTGAAGCAAGTCCTGTTCCATAAGGGTGTCTCTTGCACAGAAGCTCTCCCATGGTAGTCACAGTTGGTCCCCACAGCCAATTGACCTGGAGGTCAATTCCTCCCAGTGACACCAACAGCAATCAAGGCTCAACTACAACAAGATTGTGCACACAGCCCACAAAGGGGTGCACCTAGAGTGTCCAACTCAGGATATTGGGGAGGCTGAGCCACTGGGCCCTATAGGAAACCTACTACACAAGGCCACTCTATTAACTCAAGGAGACTTAGCAGCTCTACCCAATACATAGAAACACGCACAGGGAAGCAGCCAAAATGTGGAGACAAAGAAACATGTCACAAATGAAAGAAATGGAAGAAAGCAAACTACTGGATATAGAGTTCAAAACCACAGTTATAAGATTACTCAAGAATCTTCTAAAAACCTCCAAGGCACTTACTGAGACTTTCAAGGATCTTAGTGAGGATGCCAAAAAAAAAAAAAAAAAAAAAAAAAAAAAAAAAAAAAAATGGAAAAGGACCAGTCAGATATAAAGCATACACTGACTGAAATAAAGAATAATATACAGGGATTCAACAATAGACTAGAGGATCCTGAGAATCAAATCAATGATTTGAAATATGAGGAAGCAAAAAACACCAAACCAGAAGAGCAAAAAGAAAAAAGAATTAAAAAATATGAAGATAGTGTAAAGAGCATCTGGGACAACTTCAAGCGTACCAATATCCGAATTATGGGGTTGCAGAAGAAAAGAGAAAGCAAGATATTGAAAAGCTATTTGAAGAAATAATGACAGAAAACTTCCCCTAACAGGTGAGAGAAAGAGACTTACAAGTCCAGGAAGCACAGAGAACCCCAAACATGAGGAACCCAAGACACATCATAATTAAAATGCCAAGGGAAAAAGACAAAGAGAGAAACTTAAAAGCAGCAGAGAAAAGCAATTAGTTACCTACAAGGGAGTGCCCATATGACTGTCTGATTTCTCAACAGAAATTATCCAAGCCAGAAGGGAGTGGCAATTAACATTCAAAGTGATGCATAGCAAGAACCTACAACCATTACAACCAAGATTACTCTACTTAGCAAAGCTATCATTTAGAATGGAAGGTCAGATAAAGAGCTAAAGAGTTCATCATCACCAAACCAGTATTGTATGAAATGCTAAGGGGTATTCTTTAAGAAGAGGAAAAAGCTAAAGATAAAAATATGAACAACAAAGTGGCAACAAATACATATCTATCAACAATTGAATCTAAAAAATCAAATGAATAAAAAATCTGATGAACAGAATAAACTGGTGAATGGAATAGAATGAGGGGCATGGAAATGGAACAGACAGATGATTCTCAGAGGGAAAGGGGTGTGGGGGTGCAGGGAAGAGATTAGACAAAGATCTTATATGTATTTATGCATTACCTATGGACACAGACAATAGGGTGGCGAGGGCCTGGGGTGGGGTGGGAACCGGGTGGAGGGGAGATATGGGGGGAAAAAAGGGAGACCACTGTAATAATCTCAACAATAAATATTAATTTAAAAAATAGTCTGCTATATTTGGTTAAATATTTAATTAACTCACCCCTAATACCTCCGCAGGGACAGATCATATGCGGGCTTTATACAGCTAGAGGGCTGGATGTTCCCCACCTCTGGTTTATGAGCAAGGACACTATATGCCTTGTCTCCCAATTTGAATACGTTCTACATACCTTTGTAGTTTGCATATCGCCAAGCACAACATGGGCCTGAACTGCATGGGTCCACACATAGGAGGAATTTTTTCAATAAACACCATTGGCCCTTCCTATCTGCTGGTTTTGCCCTAGAACAGCGGTTCTCAACCTGTGGGTCGCTACCCCTTTGGGGGTTGAACGACCCTTTCACAGGGGTCGCCTAAGACCATCGGAAAACACATATATAATTACATATTGTTTTTGTGATTAATCACTATGCTTTAATTATGTTTAATTTGTAACAATGAAAATACATCCTGCATATCAGATATTTACATTATGACTCATAACAGTAGCAAAATTACAGTTATGAAGTAGCAGCGAAAATAATTTTATGGTTGGGGGTCACCACAACATGAGGAACTGTATGAAAAGGTCGCGGCATTAGGAAGGTTGAGAACCACTGTCCTAGAAGATTCAACCGAGGAGATGGAAAGCACTATTTTCGCATTCCCAAATGCAGATTCCCCACTGCGGATTCCCAACAGTGAAACAAAAATACTGTTTTCAATTTCAGGTTGATTGAATTCACCAAAGTGAAGGGCCACTTTAAGAAACAACATGATAGGCAGATTTTCAACTATGTGGGGGATAGGCACCCCTAACCTTCCACGTTGTTCAAGAGTCAACTGTGATAGAACCTATATGAAAAATAGGAAAAAATCTAAAATGGAGGTAATTATTTCTAAATATTCTACACATTCACAATATTCTAGTGCCTTTCTCTACCCTCCTATTAACTTTTTTCCTTCAAGGTTTTTTCTGTTGTTGACTGAGGAATGCTTATTACCTTTTCTAATTTCTCTCACCTATTGTGTTCATCTCACCACCAAATGCAACTTTCAACTTTTTATCTGGTAAATGATTTCATTTTCCTTTTGTTTTTCTCAACTTATTTTTATTTGGGTAACAAATGTATGTCAGATCCTCATTTGATGAAAACAACAACAACTATGCTTGCAATGTATTATAGGAAAATTTTATTTAATGCAATACAAGTCCATTCACCCCTTAATCTGTTAATATGAGAAATCAAACCCATTATCTTATTTCTTTCCATTTTTTAAAGATTTCAAGTCCTAAGAAGACAAGAGCACTTTATTTATGTACTAGAGGCCAGGTGCATGAATTCATGCACGGGTGGGGTCCCTCAGCCTGGCCTGCGCCCTCTCTCAATCCAGGACCCCCTCAGGGGATGTTGGACTGCCGGCCTGTGGGGATCAGGCCCAAACCGGCAGTTCAACATCCCCCAAGGGATGTAGCAGTGCCGAAGCAGCAGGCGGCCAGGGAGGAACCCTAGCTGGGGCCGGGTGCCCTGGCGCTCCCACTCCCCGCCACCCACCACCTGCCACCTCTGCAGCTGTGCTTGTCAGCCATGAGCCCGGCTTCTGCTGAGTGGTGCTCCTGCTGTCGGAGCACACTGAACACCAGGAGGCAGCTCCTGCATTGAGCCTCTGCCCCTGGGTGGTCAGTGCATGTCAGAGCGACCAGTTGTTCTGGCCAACTGGTTGTAACGGTCACTTAGGCTTTTATATATATAGATTCTGTGCAACAATATAGAACATAGGACTTTTATTGGAAAACTATAACTATAGTGAAAATAACGATCATAGTAATAGAGTGTATTCTAGTCTTGAAACATAGGGCCTTACTTTCAAACAACAGGGATGGCACAAGTAGAGGAGATGGGGAATTATCACACTCAGATAAAAGTGAATTAAATAACTTTTATTACCTTAGTTTCTTTCCTCCATCGGCAATTTTAGCTTTTTGAAGATAACCTTCTTTTTCAACCATCTGCAAGAAGAATGCATATGTTAAAACTGTGACAAACTCCCATGCATCATTAGTTTAAATGAACCTATGCTTTCCAAAAGTCATTGTAGTGATAGAAGTTTCCAGTCATAGAACTTCATTAATAATGCATATATAGCTTATGGGAAGTGCCTGCAAGATGATAGTCATTACAAGCCCTTAAATATCCAAAAGAAAGATTACAAAGAGTAATGTGAATGATTTGTTACATGGTGATACACCTTTACTCGCTTTTCCTTGGGGGCATTGAAGTAACTTGCTTGCAAAATTGATTAACAACAGTAAAACAAAGACAAATTTGATGCTCTCCTTAATTTTACTGATCATCCTTGGAAAAGTTCTTTTGTTTTTTATTCCACACCCCCACTTCCTCATGAACCTGCTGAGGCGAGGAATCTAGAAAAATTGAATGGAGCCATGTAACTGAGTCATGTGAACCATGGAAGGACATTTAAGACAGTGACATTGCATGTATTTTGTTGTTACCAAGATATCCTGTGTAACACCATCCCACTAACATCTTCTATAATGTGGGTTTGTTTCCTTTCCTGTTTGTATGTATTGGCTTTCATTACTTGTACGTCAGCAAGATTCTTAAAGGAGATTCAATAATTTTTTATAACACCACAGAAGTTTTGTGGAGTTCTAGGGTAATAAATGCATCATGCAAATTGTGATCTAGTGACTCCCAGAAAAGTCTATAATAAGTGTTTTAGTTTCAACCAATATATATATTTTTTTAATATTGGTATTGATTTCAGAGAGGAAGGGAGAGGGAGACAGACATAGAAACATCAGTGACGAGAATCATCGATTGGCTGCCTCCTGCATGCCCCCTACTGGGGATTGAGCCCACAACCCGAGCATGTGCCCTTGACTGGAATCGAACCTTGGACCCTCCAGTCTGCAAGCTGACGCTCTATCCACTAAGCCAAAACAGCCAGGGCTGTTTTAGTTTCTTAACATTCTATTTCTACCTTCCCCTTATTTCACACACCTCCATTCTATGAGCTTACCCTGTGCTCCCTCTTTTCATCTTGATGAATTGCTGACACCTTCTCTCCCATGCTATAGGATAAAAGATTTAAGAAGTTACCTGGCTGCCCTATCAGCATGGCTCAGTGGTTGAGCATTAACCTATGAACCAGGAGGTTGCTGGTTTGATTCCTGGTCAGGGCACATGCCCAGGGTTGTGAGCTTGATCCCCAGTAGGGGGTGTGCAGGAGGCATCCAATCAATGATTCTCTCTCATCATTGATGTTTCTCTCTCTCTCTCCCTCTCCCTTCCTCTCTGAAATCAATTAAAATAAAAAATAAGCCACCTGCCTAATATTGAAGGACCTCACTCAGTGACACCCTAGGGCAGCCGTGGGCAAACTATAGCCCGCGGGCTGGATCCAGCCCATTTGAAATGAATAAAACTAAAAAAAAAAGACCGTACCCTTTTATGTAATGATGTTTACTTTGAATTTATATTAGTTCACACAAACACTCCATCCATGCTTTTGTTCCGGCCCTCCGGTCCAGTTTAAGAACCCATTGTGGCCCTCGAGTCAAAAAGTTTGTCCACCCCTGCCCTAGATGCTTTCTTCTTGCTGTAATATTCCACCTCCACCATGCCTTCCTCTAACAAACTCCTAAACATGTGACATCTAATTTAAAATGCAATGTGTCTGTTAGAGTTTTCCCATGATTCCTCTGCAATCTCTTTTAGGGGCCCCTGTCCTGAATCGCCATTTCCATTCTGCCATTGTCACTATCATAGCTTTTACGGGATTGTTTGTAATGGTCCACTTACTTGCTTGTGCCTGCACCTGTGCTGTGACTTTACCTTTCTGACCTGGATTCCCAGAACCTAGAGTCCTGGATAGCACCAATAGTCACAATAATAAATACTGTTTGATCAAATGAGTGAATGAATAATGGACTGTTTACATTTTTATTTAAATCATCATAGGAACCTGGAAAAGCCAAGAAATTCAATCTGTATTGTGACAGATGAAAGGAAGAGATATTTGGCAATGAGTTGTCTCAAACCACTAAAATGTCACCAGTTAAAGAATTGGCTGTTTACAGACCCACTCTGATCTAGGCAATATCTTTTCTGACTTGTTCATTATTATACTCCTAATACAAAGTACAGTACTTAACCTTCAAAAATATATTAGGGGAGAAGAATTTTGAATAATAATTAAGAAAATTGTGATAATTTATGGTAATCATAGTAAAGATTTTTTCACATATCAACATTTCCAGAAAATTCCTTTTACTTCAGCATGCTCTCCACAGGGTAAAAGAGTCTAAGGAAGCTCTCTTGCATAATTTTTAGAATCATGATGCTCATTAGTGACTTTTTTATACTTGGATACATCTATTCATTTGCTTTCCCCACCTTTTATTCCATGTATACTGTTCCCTTTTCTTGGTGCCAAGGAATCTTGTTTGTCTACCCACTAAAACCCATATAATAAGTTCAGTGTGTAACTCTGGGTAGTACTGGGTTCTACAAATGCCTGAAAGAAGGATGTTTTCGGTAGCAATTAGCATCACAGAGGAGGTCCCTTTCTTTAAGAATGTATATTGAGAAATTTTGTTGTGTAACCATAGACAAAATTTGTTTTACTTAAGCTTTCGTCTGATGAAAATAAAATTTACCAAAAGCCTGAATTTATCTACCAAAAAGCCACAAAACCTCTCTACCCATCAGAAAAATTGATGCATGCTTTCTCAGCTAAGAATATACCCTTTCTTACCCCAAAAATATTCACTAAAAGGCCACTGGGTAGACCAGATAAGTGTTTTGTTGATCATTTCTCAAAAAGAGGAATGTGAAAGGCAAAAGTTAATACTCATGCAGGGGGGGGAATCAACATAAGCAGGCTAAAATTATTTACCTTAAAATTCCATCTCCTTGAACACATAAGCTATGTTCTTCCAGAAACTGCTGGATCTTTTCAAGGTACCTGAGATTAGGGCCAGGGTCTGTATATCTCATGTTAGAACTCTATACATTTGACTTAATTGCCATTAAACAGACAGAGCCATTTCCCTTGGTCTTGAGTCAATGCATTACAGTTGTCAGGTATAACCACAAAGAGGTCCGGGAAAAAGGAAAGAGGAAGGGGTAAATGGCAATTTAGTAATATTTTCCTATATCTTCCAAAATCCAAGCTGCCTTCAGTGTAATAAGAAGAAGCTAATCATCCTTTTACCGTGTACTCTTAGCTACAACACTTACTATTACTAATGTGCACATTTTTACATATCTACAAGTATCTGCATGAATGTTTCTACATGTAGTTATATACATGTACAGACATCATGCACACATTCTCACTTCTGGAAAGTGTTCATTCCTCCCCATTGTCTCTTTATATTTATCTACAGTCATTCATTCTTTCAACCAATTTTCAAGTTAAAAAAAAAAAAAGAAAGAAAACCTTCCCTTTCAATATAGCTGCTATGTTCACCCTGTTTTGCTTTTAAGGGGAATGGATACCATAATCCCCTCCAGCCACCTCAGACACTTAGGCCAGCTTTTGCCCTGGAATAGAAAACTCCAATCAGGCTTCCAACACAGAAAGCACTGCCTTATTTTAAGTCCCATTCTGGCAAGCAAATATTTCATGAGGTAGATTTTAAATTACGTTAGTAGTCCTTGTCATCATATTTTGAAATGTCTCACTATGTTTCAGGCACCAAGAATCAATTATTCTGGGAGGCTCATAGGAGCTGGCAGAAGTATTAGGTCAAGCAAAAGATTTCCATGTATTTTGCATGTAGGTTTATACATGGTACCATACTAATTATTCTAATTATTTATTCCTACTTTATGGTCATGCCATGGTTTGAAAGGACAATGATACATAAATTACAGTTGAGTATGTTGGTCATCTAGAACTCAGGTGGTCTTATCTCTAGTAGTATATAAAATTATATATAGCTTTAGGTCTAAGTTGAGGATACCATAATGCCAAGTTCTGGGCCAATTTGAAGGTATTTAAGATAGTAACACTCCCTAAATTATGTATACTTAACAAATGTCAACTAATCTTTAGATGCTGAATCTGGCTTCTTGAGCTATTTGTCCAATGTCCCATAGAAGTCCTATTTAATGCTAAGTGGCAGGAAAGATCAGCAATTTGTCTAGATTGGATGCCAGCCAGTCTTCTAGCATTGAGGACATACTCAGTAGACCAAACTCTGCTCAAATACAGATGAAAAGAATGCATGGTAGTAGGATAGCCAGGTAGCACCGGTTTATCAACCTTAGTTGGAGGTGAGAGACAAGGCAGGAGAGCAGAAGGTGATCTCTGATTAATGTAACACTTGTGGCAGAAAGACCAGCCTACACTCATAAGTACAGACACTGCAATTTTTTATGTGAAGTCTCCACGTTGTTCTCAGATAAAGAAGTAGAATCGAAAACAATAGGTTTTCATCAGCACCAGTACACCAAAAGAGTCCTGTCAAAATACATGTTGATAAAAGGAAATGAACTGGATCTAAGGCTTTCACCAGATTTTGATGAGGAAAACTTGGCTTTCAACACCAGAACCACAAAGCCCTTACTCCTTATAACATTTACTCAGCTATTGTATTTAAGTCATTCTTCTTTTTCCCCTTTGTTCTGATTCTGTGTTCACTGGCAACACTCTGACTCCTAAATCAACTTCCTAGGTTCTTTGATGTAGAATGTGGGTGCCTAAAATAGTCAGCATCAGAATATCCATTACATAAATTTATAATCAAAATTATAGTTTATACATCAGACTTACAATTTGGTTACTAGTAGATAGTCCCTAGGGATCATTATCTCTCTAAGCCCTGATAACTTTGATAAATATAATTTTTTTAGACCCACAAAACTGAGACAGCCCTAAACTTGCGAGGGCCATTCAAAATACTGCCACTCTGTGAATCTGTCTCTGATGGACTGCCCTGCTCCAGGAGAACTATGCCTCATCATTCTGTAACTACAA